AAGGCTGTGTTGACACAGGTGCTGATCTTATGTCTTTTCTGGTCAGAAGTGATGAAGCAGCATTGAGACAGTCTGTTTATATTGGACAGGCTCATTGATCTGTGTTGGAGGGACTTGGATGGGGTCCCGGAAGCAGCAGGCCGCTCGTGCAGGCCTCGCGAATGCGGTCATCGGAGGTCAAAGGCCAGTACCAGTGCACACTTACCAGAGAGGAGACATTAGACACTGTCAGGGATGTCTTGAAGAAAGCAGAAATGCAACTTACAAAAACATTGTAATAAACATATATAACATATTCTAAGTGAAAATAAGTACACATCCTCTACAGAGAACACACTTCTGCACATTTTTTTTGCTTCCTCTGCATATGGTTAATTAATTAATGGTTTTGAATTGTTGGTATAAGGCATGTGTAAATGTAACTTTTTGTTAAACACAGTCAAACATTAATTAAACAATTTTCCTTTGCAAAAATCTTAGTTCTCTTAAAGCATCAGTCTTAATTCTTTTTCATTGTAATATGACAGGGGTGTGGAGGGGGCCTAATGAGAATGTTGCCTTGTGCCACCACATGTTCATAAATGACCCTGGATACTGTCATTCTTACAACCTCTCTCTTTCACTCTCTCACACATACACCTTTGTTTTTATACCCGGTCAGCATGTTGGATCATGCAAATTTCCCATATGCATTATATAGATGTAATTACCTGTATGTAATAAGGATTTGCTTTGGCTCTTCCCAGCTAAATTAAACCTGGTTTGAGACAGTTTTTAAAGAATGAAACATTTAACTTTTATAAAACATCAATTTTGATGGTTCAACAAGAGCTCTGTTTTCTCTGTTTTTCCTACATTTCCGACATTTTTGTATTAAAAACAAACACTTTAGAGCAGCGGTGCCCAGACTTTAGGTGGTGGGCTAAGGACCAAAAAGACAAAACAGCTAGCTAGCAAATCGTTCACTGCACTTTTTCACATCTTACTAGTATGTGTGGAAAAAAAACATAATTTTTAAATACCATTAAGCCTTCTTTACGTACAAGGCACACTGCATTTAAATTCAGCAAAAATATGTTCTTCACACTGGGGGTCCCTAAAAATCCTCTTGTCCATGTAAGACCATTTTTTACACTCTTAGCTTGTAACTACTAGCTACACGTGCCATTACACGCTGTGCCATACAGTTATCATTGTAATGTGCTATTACATTACAATGATAACTGTATGGTGTAAAGAGTCATATATTTTTTACATTTTATTTTAGCAAATCACATAATATGTTTGGTTACTAAAAGAAGTTAAAAAGTAAAAATTGAAACAAACATTAAATTAAAAATAACTGTTTAATCATTGGCTGAGGGAATGGTTGGTTAGACCTCACTTTGAGCAGCCCTGCTATAAAGCCATCTTACTTCATGTATGTAACTTCATGTACTTGGGAAGTATCAGGCATTATCAAAATTCATATGTGACTAGGGCTGCCACTTCAGCCCTGTGAAATTCCTGAACACTACATCAGCAGCTTGAATCTTCACTAAATTCAATGGCTAGATAAATATCAGTTACATGTTCTCAGTTATTGTGCTGAAGTGCTGCCTAGGGCCTAAACAAGTCACCAGCAGTGCACCTTCCTCAAACAACTGTCCCTACGTTGAGGGTGGTCTGAACTAATCAAACCCATTCTTTGTATACAAATGGTTTTAAACGTCATAAGAAAGCTAACATATGAAAATGCTTGTATTCCTGGACATTTTGGATGGAATTATTTTTTCCTGGACAGGCAACCAAAAATTGGAAAATCCAGTACAATCCTGGATGGAGGGCAATGCTTCACTCTTAAAAATGATGGTTCTTCAAGGGTTATTTAGTAAAGAAAATGGTTCTATATAGAACCATGAACACTCAAAGAACCATCTGCATGATTAAGGGGGTTCTTCGCATTGTGAAAAGGGTTCTTCAGATTGATGGAGATTGTGTTGTAGATGGTTCTATATATAACCATTTTGAAAAGGGTTTTATATAGCACCAAAAAGAGTTCTTCTATTGTTTCAATCTTAACAACATAACAATAGAAGAACCCTTTTTGGTGCTAGATAGAACCCTTCCCATCCATCTACAACACATTCTCTATCAATCTGAAGAAACTTTCAGTTCTTGGAGTGTTTATAGTTCTATATAGAACTGCTTTCTTTACCAAAGAACACTTGAAGAAGAATTTGTAAGTGTTTGTATGTTCTAGGCTCATTGACTATACAGATCTGATTTAGTTAAAAAATAAGGTTTACAGAGCCGACCATGATCAGCATCTCCAAATATAAACTGCCTGAAGAAATAAACTCGGTCCATAGTTACGGCAACTCTGTGTAAACCTCAAACTGGAGGGGCTAGTATTACTCTGCGCATGTGAGCTGCAGGAGTTATCCTGAGTAGCTTTGATGCTGTGACTTTCTCACAAACCAGGGCTTACCTGGAGAAACCTTGAACAGCATGAGATTGAGGCTGATAGCCAGAGTGAGGTGGAAGACAGAGGAACGGGCTTAATGCCAAATTGAGCGCCAAATCAAACAGAAAATTCTCTGAGCGGGATGCTTGCACAACAGCTTTACTCGTCTTATGCAAGCAGAAGATGCCTCTTTGACCGTGAGGGGCTAACACAACATTTCATTCTTCAAAGTTTAGACAGATTCAGCGATATCAACAGCAAGGAGCAGAATGAATGGATTAATAAACAGCTCTCTCTTACATCTGTGAAACTTCAAAATATTCGGGACAAGGCCAAGTCTCTCCTCAGGAGGTAAATTCACTAAGTGGGATATGTTTAGCTCAGTGGTTCCTAATACTGGTTCTAGAGCAGTTTGGCTGGTGTTTTCTCTGCTTAACAAGACCTTCCTGAGCTGACGTTGGGTTGGAAACCACTGTTTTAGAAGAGTGTATGAATCCTCTCAGTTTTGAGGGGAATTCCGACACACTGACACATTAGAATGAGGCCTTAGCTTCATTAATGCAGCAGCAGTTGCTGTAGCAGAGGTTGCTGACTTCAGGTATTGAGCGGTTGTGGTAGTTAGGTATTGACATCAGTATCAGTTGGAGGGCTCGTTGGAAGGTCAACACGTGCCTTCCGTCCTGAAAACAAGAGCCACATGACACCCGGCCTCGCCAGGCCACATAGCCAGCCCAAACACAATAGTGGGGCAGACCCCTCATAGCCGCGTAACTCAATAGCATTAATCCATGGGATTATTCCGCACCTAATCCCTACAGAACCCCGCTTTGTATCGCAACGCCACACATCAGCATGGGCCACTGCGTTCGCACAATAACACACACACTGACTCACTCCAGCACAACCCACTCTGGCTCCCACATAGTCCGAATACATAAACAAGCTTCTCACAAATGTACTAGACATAGTGAAGACCTACTGGCATGAAAAGACACTCAATGAGACACACGGCTAGAAGTTTCTTAAAATAAATTACACACTCTTATATAGTAAAACAAAGAAGTGTTTTTAATGTGACAACAATAAAATGGTTACCATATTAGAAAATGTTTAAATATAGTTCATTAGTTATTTTTTTATTATTATTCCTCAAAAGTGTGAGCAGTAATGGAAATGACAGGATGTTATGGAAATCACTGTGTGTAGCAGAAGTGAATGTCTTTTTTTTCTTCATTGCATCATAGAAAAAATGATACCTGTTATTTCACAGCACTTTGTATAACTCAGTATTTAAAGCTGCACTATGTAAGATTTGGGGATTTGGAGACCTCTCTGGTGGAAATGTGTAATGGCATGCAACATGTTGAAGAACGTTTTGTAACATGTTGTGCTTGGGACCCCTTCCCCAAAGGATCAGTCTTTGAGTCGGACCTTCTTTTTGAGTCTGGGCATGTGACATTAACATGTAAAGATTAACTTTTAAATTATTATTTTAGGTCTTACAGACTAGCAGCAGCACACGTACATGCATGAAGCTTTAATTACAACTATTATCATATAAATTGGGTCTACTACATCTAAAAACTCTAACAGGCTAAGGCTAGTTTATAGCTAGTGATATTATGTATCCTTAAAATGAATATTTTTACATTTTTGGCATAATTTGACAGCATTATTGGAAATGATATAATAAAAATATTATGTTATCAATTTTTTTACCTCTTCTCTGAGACTGCTGTTTCACTGGTAACCAAGAAACTAACTTTTGAAGAAAATTGCAATGGTAAAATTGTATTTTGTGGTGAAATTGACAGCATCAAAAAGGGAGCCTTCGAATAAAAAGGTTTAGGGACATCAAAAGGTTTTGCTTCAGAGGACCAAATAAAGAGATAACTAAAATAATATTAAAAAATGAAATTCTTTTTTAAAATGCATCTATAAAGTAGTAAAAATAATCACTAGACACATGGTAAAAAATCTTAAACTTCATATAATAAAAAGAACAATAAAAATCTGTGAACTGTATTGATATGGTCCATCCTGAGGACCTAAAAGTGCCTGTAGTTGTAGAAAAAACAACTACCAAGAGAATGAAAATGATAGAAAAACTATCATAGGCACAAAACATTGTTTAGTTTCTCTAAACAATTCCCTCTTATTCCAGATGTAGTCAATCAGCCAAGACAAATTTGCTTCTTTAGTTTTGCACTGAAGCTATGAGGCTGTTGTAGCTTGTAGTTTTGTATTGTACGGCGCTATGGAAGCTTATAGCCACCAGTTGGTACTGTGCAAAGTGCAAAAACTGAAATATCGGTAAGTGAAATCATCTTAAATGAAGTCAATACATCTAATAATCCTCATCATGCAATTCCTGTAAAAATAAATTACAGGATTGTTCAACCTATTTCAAGACATTTCAAGTGAAATGTTCATTCCATTGAAAAATAAAATTTGCTGGATGGAATGAGATCATTTCACTAGACAAATGACTGAAAACAAGTAAAAATATGTAGAAATAGGTTGGATATTCTTAGAAAAATCTTGTAATGAGAAATATTAGATATGTTCAGACGATTTACGATGATTTCACTTGCCACAACATCCTTTTTGCAGTGAAATCAGTACACGCTTGCCTCACACTGTTAAGTAATCTCAAATTGATTTACTTCTGTTATTTCTTTGGACCAAACATTGAACACAAAACATGTCTTGGCTGGTTTACATTTGATTTTCTTCCAAACTATTGCTTTAAAGTGAACCGAGGTTCGCTGGAATGCAGCTCTGTTGTTGCGGAGTGGTCAGCGGCTACTGAACAAAAAAGCGCTCGCCTGTTTTTTCTGGACCCTTCGTCCTGTGCTGTCTGCACATTCTTCAGTCCGCTGGTGACATGCCTGTAAATAAACGCTCCACAATGCCTTGTTTGGCACTGACAGAAGCAGAGCGCACACACAGCACTTGGGCCCCCTGGTAATGTAACAGGCCAGCACTCGCTGGCAGCAGGACCGCTCCCCATAGGTCCCTGTGTGGATGCAGATACACACACACACACACACACACACACACTATTATACAGTATAGTGCCACTGTTATACAGTATAGTGTCACTTGTATATATATTGTACTGTATAGAGTCACTGTTATACAGAATACAGTTACAGATATACAGTATAAAGTCACTGTTATACAGTACAGTCACTGTAATGAAACGTAGGGTCATGCTTCTTCACCTGTCACTGTTATACAGTATAGTGCCACTATTATACAGTATAGTGTCACTTTTTCACTGTATAGAGTCACTGTTATATAGTATACAGTTATTGTTATACACTATAGAGTCACTTTATTACTGTACAGGGACTGTTATACAGTATACAGTTACTGGTCTACAGTATAGAGTCACTGTTATACAGTTACACAGGATAGAGTCACTGTTATACAGTTATACAGTATAGTTACTGTTATAAGGTATAGTGTCACTTTTTTACTATATAGTTACTGTTATACAGTATACAGTTACTGTTCTACAGTATAGAGTCACTGTTATACAGTTATACAGTATAGTTACTGTTGTAAGGTCTAGTGTCGCTTTTTTACTGTATAGTCACTGTTACACAGTATACAGCTACTGTTATACAGTACAGAGTCACTGTTATACAGTTATACAGTATAGAGTCACTGTTATACAGTATAGTTACTGTTATACAGGATAGAGTCACTGTTATACTGTTATAAAATATAGTCACTTTTATTGTATAGTCACTGTTATACAGTATAGAGTCACTGTTATACAGTATAGTTACTATTATACAGGATAGAATCACTGTTATACAGTTATACAGTATACAGTCACTTTTATACAGTTATACAGTATACAGTCACTTTTATACAGTATACAGTTACTGTTACAAAGTATAGTTACTTTTATATAGTAGAGTCACTATTATATAGTGATACAGTATAGAGGTCCTGTTATACAGTGTAGAGTCACTGTTTTTCAGTTATACACTATACAGTCACTGTTAAACAGTACAGAGTCACTATTATACAATATAGAGCTACTTTTAAGTTTTACTTTTAAGTTTATGCAGCAACCAAATCAGAAGAAAGAATGATGTTATAAATATTGGTATTTCTGTATTATTTGTTAATGTTATCAATAACTAGCTCAATTTATATTATATGTAAATTCATTTGCATTTAAGCACACCTTTTGGAAACCTTCAAAACCTGAAATTCTTTCTTTCTGTCTTTCTCAATTTCTTTACTTTTTCTAGATGGCAATTATAAAAGTTACAATGGTAAGAATGGGCTACTCGAACAAAGTAACTCATCAGATGAGGAAGACAGCACGCTAAAAGCCAAAGTGAGCAAATTAGCTTCGTGGCCATATCTTACTAGTTCTGTAGGTGAAAAGGTAAAAACATCTCTTCTTTGCACTGCATAAAGACAGAATCAATGCCTGAGGTGAGGCACTAATTCTAGCTTGGTTGTATTTCTTAACCTATAGCTCAGTGGCTCAGGTAGCCGTCAGGATTGGTTGAGTACCCAATGGTTGTATGTATATCTGTATCATGCATGCTGTGTTTTCTGTGTCTTGTAGTGAGAGAACACTGATGAAGAAAAACAATCTTGAATTCTGTCAAACGGATGAGGCTGAGGGATACAGTGTTGAGCTACAGAATATTGCAATGACATGAAACAGCATTATTTTCTGGAATTGTTTTGTTGCTACTGTAAATTTGCTGCATTCTTTGAAATTAATAAAGTTTCTCTTTGGCTTGAAGCTGGTTCTCATGACTGCAGAGCAGGTGGATGCAAAACCTTGGGCCAAGAACACGTGGGCATTGGAGGCATTAGGGAGCTGGACCAAGGAGAGTACTAAACTGAGTGGTGCAGCGGCATTCCAGGAATGGATTTAATTGGGGACAATAAGGCTTTGATTATAACATGGATCAAAATTTAGATCTGAGCTTTAACTGACATGAAGCCAACCAAGGCTTTGAGCTTATGTACAGTTCATAAGTGGAAAATAGTCTTTATTTATGAAACAGCTGTACACTAGTAGCTAGTTGCCATTGTGCCATAAAACAGCCCTTTGGCTAACAAGCACCAAAGTCTGAAAGCTTTATCCGCAGGCTCCATGACCCAGCTACGAGGGCATAGCCAGAACTTTTGCAACTAGGTTCAGCTTAGTGATTTTAGTGTGGAAGCCACAGTACAAAGAGTTCATTTATTCCTATCATTCACAAGAAAATGATGGTAGTAGGCAAGATTTTCCACTCTAAAATTAAAGTTGCTGAGAAATGAACAATCTAGTTAATCGTATTTCATAGCCAAAAGTAAACACTGAAAAAGGGAATCAACCTGAATTTGCTTAAAATGATCAGTTACAGTTGGGAATTTACCCACATATAGCAGTATTGACATAGGGATTTTTAGTTGCTTTGAACTATGTGTAGAAAATTTGGCTACATCGTATATTATTTAGTAATTGTTATCATCACAATACTGGCTTTTGCAATACTGATATCATAGAAGGCCGCAATACGCAAATGCAAAAAAAATGTTTATTGTTTATTGTGATGCAGACAAACCACATACATTATTTGGAGGAATCAAGCCATTCATTTGAAACGTAATTCATCAGGAAAAAAATGTATGTAAATTGCACCTGGTGTCACTAGAAAACACATTGCACACTGCAAAGATTTCATGCAACAAGTAGCAATCATAGTGAAGATGATGGAGCTTTCTAAAGTTCTCAGGGACAACATTATTAAACAACACTCAAATGGAAAAGGCCACAGAGCCCTTGCAAGAACTTTAAACATCCAGGTCAGTACAACTGGTTCCATGATATGTAAGTGGAACATTCATGGAACCACAACGAATAGTCCTCAGACAGGTGCACCACGTAAGATTACACAATGTTCTCACAGACTAAAGATAAGGAAGGTAAGAGCAGGCCAGCAGTCAATCGAAAAGAGTTGCAGGAACCTGAAAGCAGCAGTAAAAACAGTTACACAGAGAACACTGAGCAATGAACTGCACTGCAATCATCTCCATTCCAATGCCTCACACAAAACTCCTCTGCCAAAAAAAACATAAGCACAGAGATGGACCAATGTTTTGGAACAATGTACTCTCATCAGACAAAGCAAAAATACAACTTTTTGAAAATAATACAGTTTGCATGTTTGGGGAATAGAAGGGTTGCATGTATGATCCCAAGGACACCATAACCACATTTCATGTCATTGAAAGAAAAATGAATGGAGTGATGTACCAGGACATATTAGAGGAGATTTTAACCCCTTACATGGCCACGGCATGCCCAAAGTTTTATTACACACTTCTATATCGTATTGTATTGATGTCCCTGTAGTTACTGAACAATAAGCTTTAGTATGTAATAAGCCTGGGATATTAAGGGGTTAATTTCATCAGCCAAGAAACTGAATGAGGGAAGAGAATGGACATTTCAACAAGACAACAACCCAGACATAACCTTGGGAATTTGAGAGCAGTTTGCAAAGACGAATAGGCCAAAATTGAATCACATGCTGCAAAAAGCTAATTACTTCTTACTGTGGACATCTCAAAGCTATAATTGTAATGCTGTTAATTTGTGGCGCGTGAATAATATGTTTGTTTTGTTCATATTGATATGTACAAAATAATACATTATGTGTGCAAAAAAAGGTTTTGGCCATTGTTTACTGACCTAACGGTAAGACAGGCACATCACTTGTCAGTCACTGGTTGGTTATTGCCCTGTGAAAGGTAACCATTCACACAGAGTAAGACAACTGTTCTAACTGCTTAACTGATAATGGCTGACTGTCTCATGCAGTGGAGCTGGGAAAGCCATGCATCAAGCTTCAGGCCACTCCTTGTCTTAGCGCACTATACTGTAATACGTGTGGTTAGCCTACTAGCGTGCTAGCCAAGCTTTACTGTAATGCAGGCTATCTCGGGGGAATCTGGGTCATATGAAGTGCACAACCCCCCTGCTCTCCTCTCACACTGGACCAGCACGCCTCCAGCCTTCACCACTGTCTGCCCATCTGTCTGCTTCATACTGTACGCTACACACACGGAAAAATGAGGCTGCAGAGAGAAAACAATCAATCTGTGTCTTTGCTTTCTGGCCCCATTCTCCTGGTTCCAAAGCATGACCTCCCATACCCCTTAAGTACGTACATACTCTTCACAGCATTACACCCAAAGTGGTTAAAGGAATACTCCTGATTTTTCATTTTTCAGCCTAATCATTTTCTGCCATATTTGTCGCACAAAGTGAATTACTATGAATATTAAAGTCAATGCGAATCAGAAATCAGAAGACCTTTTTCTTTCTTAACGTGACACATTGCCGTGTGAAATAAGAAATAAATGTGGGCGGGTCATGATTTAATTCTCCAGGATTTGACTGGAGCGTGAAAAGCAGGCATTCCACAAACTCTGGCAGTTAGCAGACTCCATCTGTTTTGCTGAAAAGCCAAAGAAAAAGAATAAAAATTATTTACTGACATTTTTATGTGTATTTTTTGTATTGTCTGAAACATAATTCATTATTTGTTTAAATTTTGTTAATTTTAACATGTATTTGTTTTTTTTTTTAAGACATAGAAGCGAAGCACCAATTAGCAGGCTAGCCTTTTAGCATTTTGCTTTCAGTTTTCTTACACTTTCACTGCAAAAGCTAGAGAAAAACATGAATTCCATGCTGGTCTAAGCTGGTTTATTCTGATCTAGTGCTGGTTTAGCTAGTCACCCAGTACGGTCATGCTGGTTGACCAGCATACCAGCAGCCAAAACACAACATAGGCTTTTTTGCTGGTGATCAGCATATTAACTTCCTTTGCAGCTGACCAACAAACTAGCATCCAAAATATAACATATGCTGGTTTTGCTGGTGATCAGCTATGCAGGTCTATGCTGGTTTTTCTAATGTGGATGCACTCCTGCTAGCAGCGGAATCAGACCGAGACCCATGATTTCTGCTGTTTCCTGGTT